GGCATCAGTACCACAGCAGAACTCTCTGAAGTTGTCCAGCTGGTGGCTTCTGGCGAACTGTCGCGTGCAGACATGCTGTCCTGGGAGGGAACAGCACGATGGCTGGTCCTCGACAAGCTCTCAATGGCAGTGGCCTCAGCCTGGCTAGGTGTCTGAATTTTCTCAAAGGAAACATCCCTTGGAAGCCAAGAGTCTGCGCGGCTGAGCGTATGTGCGTCTTCAAAAATGAATGCATGAGTCGTCTGCAAACATGGCTGTGTCAGGTTACGGCTGATCTTGTTCGCATCCTCGGAAAGGCCTGCTTTGTTAAGCGGTAAGGAGTGCAGTTTGTTTCCGACAATCATAGTCTGGTGGGGTCGAGTTGTGTCTGGCACGATAGATGTGAGCGCCTCCATGTCCTCAAACGACAACGAGCGCGAGGACAGTATCTTCTGAGGAACGTCTGGTGGTGGTACTCACGGGTCTAATACCGATTCAGAGTTCACGACCTGCAGAGAAGGACTGCAGTCACTTTGGTCAGGGTTAGCAGCAGGAAACTCGTGGATATACTTCATTTCTCGAGAGGCGTCTTTTTGCAAGGCGGAAATGCTCTCATGTTCAGTTACTAAATCCTTTAAAGCGTGCAGACCCGCTTCCGTCTGGTCAAGGATGAGCATGGTGAAATCCACAGGCACGCGCGTTTGATGGCGCGGTAGAATGTCCAGTAAGATGGAGGCTGGTGCCTCAGCGTCTACCGAATGGTCTGACGACTCCGGATGGCGTTTGTTGGCGCCTGTCACAGGGCATTTTGCGAAACTTGACGTGAGAGAACTACCGGACACAGGTGCACCATCGGGCCGCTGCTCCATGACAGCAGGAATGCCTGTGCAAGGCAGAGTTACACGATCGTGATTGTTCCCTACATCTTGGTCACTGAGAGATGACAGGATGGTAGGGGCTCGAATTGCATCCTCTAGGTCGGGCTTTTCCTGAGTTCCGTCCTGAGAGAAGGTCGAGTTGCATGGGCAGGTGGCACAGGGAATCAGACCGAAAGCAGCTATGAGCTTCAGACTCCACTCCGTCCATGACTGCTGCTTCCAACCTTCATACCGGTGCCACGCCGCTGCACCTTCCCGAAGACGGTCTATAGCCACATACCATTTCTCATTTCTGTCCAGGCCTCGTGCATTCCTATCGCGTTGACGGTTGCCACCCAGCTGTCGGCGTCGTTCCAGACCCCGTGGAATTCCGGTAGTTTGCAGACGGCTGGTGATTGTGAGGTGGCAGGTGGCAACGCAGACATCACCGAAGCGAAGCAGTCGAGCTGGTGTGAAAGTTCGATCAGAGAAGACCGAAGCTCCCTGCGTTGCTGCGGTGTGCTTGCCTCAAGGCCGTATGAGACAGCTACATCCAACACTGCGTTAATGTCACACACTGCTGGCAACATTGTAGGTGCTCGCTCGGCGATCAACGCTGTCAGTTTGTTAGTCTCGGCGCGGAGCAGTGCGATGGTACGCCGCAGCTTCACGGCACTGTCGCAAGAGGCTTGTGAACCACTTTGGTTCGAGTCCGTGAAGTACGTGGTTCTAGTAGTACTCACGGTGGTGACACGCACGTCTAAGGAAGCATGAACAGCATTTCTTGGCGGCTCTTGTGTTGGAAGAGTACCGGACAGAGAATGCAGGCCGTGGGAAGCTTGAACAGCATTCCCAAAGTACAGGAGCCCGTGCGTATTACGGCCTCAAAATGGTAACATAGTGTCCAGTGGGTGATGCCCTAGTACCACAGAGGAGGCATAGACACCGTCCACTGATGGTCCGATGGGCAGCTAAAGCGGCGGCCGGGTTGTTAACTCCATCGTCAAAGAAGCGGGAACGGCGTTCCTGGATGGAGAAACCCGCACTGCCGACGAACCACGAAGACACGTACCGGTGGGTTCCCGCAGAAGGTTCACCTATCGGACCGCCGAGGAGGCCTTGACGCCGTCCCCGAACCGTGGTGGCAGTGGCGGCAGGTGAACAGCTGCCGAAGAGGCCTTGACGCCGTCCTCAAGCGGCGCTTATCGCGGCTGTTCTGGATGACGAAGCCGGGACGTAAGCTTTCTTCTTCGGCGACTGCGCCATTGTAATGAGCGAGACAGACACATTCGTCGGGCAAGCTGTTCTATTCTGTCTTCTTCTTCCTCTACCTTCCCTTAGCTGCCCACGCGCCCAAGCCCCAGCGTCTTTATTCGTGTTGACAATATATATATATATATATATATATATATATATATATATATATATATATATGAGTGCTTGTTAAATTTTCTCTTATGTGTGCAATCTTCTCCGCACACATTCTTTCTTGATTATCTGCTTAGTGAAGACATACAATCACCTAGCGTTTTTCACGATGAAAATGACGAGTATTTTCTACAGGGTGCCTGCATATATAATATGTCTGTTGAAAAGAAAAGTTCTTTCACATGGTTGATGCGAAGTTATCAATGTGTATTGTCTATGTAACATGCTGTATAATCAGTTAAACTGCCAGCTTTTGAGTTTGAATTGCTTCGAAAGGAAAGTGAGTTGTACGCTGGTTGATGTTTCTACTTATTTATAGACAAAGCAACACAATTCTTGCTTATAGTCAAGAGTCCGACGGAAGCTTGTCTGGTCGGCGACAAACATACTGGGCACGCTATCGACTAGGATAAAGCCTGCATCATTGCCACGGAAAGAAAGTTGTTACCACGGTTGCACATGGAATTTCTGGCAATTCAAACTACTGCGCATACGTTGAACATAAATATTGGAACACTCCCTCCTGTGTACGTGCGATGTCTGCAACACGTGATGGAATGTGCATAAGAAGAGCTCACTGCGCCATTTGCGGTCACTGTGAACAAGGCTCTCGTGTGCGGAGCCGAAACGTCTTTTTAAATTTTGTGTATTTCACCTTGGTTGGCGTTTTTGTTATTTTGCACAACTCTTGTTTATATTTAGAGTCATTTTTCAAACCTTGCACCAGCCAGTATGGCTTACTTTGCATTGTTTGAGATTTCGCGTTCGTTTGTTCAGAAATTAAAGGCAATACTGAACCTATAATGCTTCATTCTGAATGTCGTTTCGAAATAGCTTGTATGAAACATTAGCTGCTAATAAACACTCTTTTGAACAATTTTGACTAGTTCAAGGTGATCAGCCATAAAGTTTTGTGAGAAAATACTATACTGACTTTAACGCACAGAGCAATAAAATATACCTGCTCCGTGTCTCCACGTATGAGCGCTCTATTTTAGTATAAGTCATGCATGATACACGACAGGGCTTTAGAAAAAATGTAAAAATTATATCGGCTTGTGTTTGCTTGTTTATTTACTTGCGTGCATGCTATCAGTGCAACACGTTGTAACGCGCGATTGTTTCGATTAGCTCTAGGTCTAGGAAGGCCCTTTTGTGAACCTGAAGCTAAGAGGGCATTAAACATTAAACTTTTGTTTTCTTCAATGATATTGTTCCTTTTGATAAGAATGCAAATGACTCATTAGAATAGTGAATGACTAGACAACCGAAGATAATTATCTCTAAAACAGGAGTTGCCCCTTTTTTGATGCGGTTTGAAACAGCTGGCTCACTGAAATTAAAACGTCTACCTCTGAAAAAGCAAATTGCTGTTGTTCAGCTGCATGGTGGTGTTCAATGCATTAAACACGATGCTTCATATTGGTTCTCTTGTGGTAATATACAGCGCGGTCGTAAGCGCGTAATTGCACGTTGTGAGACCGCCCCGCCACGGTGGTCTAGTGGCTAAGGTACTCGGCTGCTGACCCGCCGGTCACGGGATCGAATCCCGGCTGCGGCAGCTGCGTTTCTCATGGAGACGGAAAGGTTGTAGGCCCGTGAGCTGAGATTTGGGTGTACGTTAATGAACCCCAGGTGGTCAAAATTTCCGGAGCCCTCCACTACGGCGTCTCTCATAATCATGTGGTGATTTCTGGACGTTTAACCCCACATATCAATCCATCAATCACATTGTGAGACCAATGAATTGATATAAAGCGATCACAAAACTAGTCTACACCGCAGTGAGTCTTTATAAAATGACCAATTTCCCTGGGCTGTAGTTTTGTTGCAAAGTATCTAGTTTTATTGCGGTATGTGGAAAGCGATGCCTCAATAATGAAAGTACTTCTTCTCGTCTTTATTTAGATGACTCGCAAGCATCACTGTCGGCACAGTGTTGCAGCCAGCATGAAGTGGCGAGTTCGATTGGGCCTACGCAAGTAGGGTTGTATTGTCATACCTGCCCAGGGTTACGTGATTACATACTTTTGTAACCTTTATGAGCTTTAGAAACTTCCACTATATTCACGTTTGGTATGCCACATGGTAATCAGCATTTCTAAGAACGCTTCATAGGCGCAAGTCATTCGTGTCTGCATAGGTTTCACGATTTTTATTTACGTATTCACTTGTTTTGCTTCTCAGATAGCCGTGAAAATTGCAGACGGCTAACATACTTTCATCCTTCTCAAATATTTTGATGACGATGATGAGCGCACGTGCTGACGCAGACTCCGACGGTACTTTTTGCGTACCATGAAGTTTCTGTCAAACTCCTTATGTCAAACACCAGGCATGGAAAGCAAACAACCACACTCGCCATAGACGAGATCAACGTGCACATTGCCTGCATATCCAGTGGATCAAGGGCAAACTACATAGCATTTTCAATTCTATATGGAGAGTCCTAGAGGTTACTGAACGTTACTATATATTTTACTCAAATTGATTCACTTGGGTTTGCCTATGTTAATTTTGTGCTCAATTGTTCCTGACTAGTGAGAAGCTCGATTTAAGGACTAAATTCTTCAAGAAAACACCGAACAGTGCAAGCAGAACAACTGACGGCACGCGCTAACAATTCATGATCACGTAAGGGGCTCATTCCCGAACATGCCCAGAAGATGAAAAGAAGCCATCGACGTTCCCTGAGAAACGAGTGTCGGTGGAAGCCCGACCATCCGTCTCACTCACCTCCAAGCCGGGAGGACCATCTTTGCCATCCAGGCCTGCGGGACCCCGAGCGATAGTTGAGTTGGCGGTACAGTAGCACATGTCCAGCTGTGGTGAAGTGTGGCCGAAGCATAGAACAGATAAATCGTTTGTTTATTTTGACTGAACAGATATTTATTATACGTAGATACATATAAAATATGGCATATTCACAGAGACTGGCGCTTCAGTCCAGCACTGCGTTGTGCACTTTCAACCAGGACAAAGGGCACGGGAAAGGAGCGACAATTGCTACAGTCGCTCTAGTAACTTGGTTGGTTGATTGTTCCTTAGTGTCCTGGTGTAACCCACCGTGAGAGATTGGCCGCTAAACGGGCGGCGTCTTTTTTTAGAGATATGTTAGTTTTACGAGTTGAATATTTTTATAAATGGGAATAAAATTGACCCATCCGTAAAACAGGGACTAAAATATTTACATATAAAAGAAAGGAAAAAATTGAACTACCTAATAGGGTTGAAGATAAAGTGAAGTGATGTCTAAGTTCAACAGTCTATTCGTTTGTTCTCTAAAGGTAATCGCATATAACTTCACAAGCGTTACTGTGATGGAAACCAAATTCAGTTGCTCCAAAGGCAAGCACCACCGGAAGGTGTACTATTACAGACACTAGCATGTGCTACGTTCTTGTGCTACTCTTTGTCTTCAGCAAAAGTGCTCTAAACCACCATATGATAATTACTCACGGATTAGCCCAACTTTCAATTCTATTACACTTTACAGTAACTAACGTGAAAAGAGATCACGCGAAAAAAAAATTGGTGGACGCTTGAGCTTTCCCTTCAAGAGTAAATCTCGATAGCGTAATCGGGCATCGTTCGACTAAATTTCAAGCCTACGTGAGCTCTCGGTGCATGCCTTAATGAAATCCTGACTGTGCGCGTATGATTACCGTTTCTAAGTATCACCGAATACCTAGTGCAAGCACAGTTGTTGAGTGCCTACTATGCCATTATTATTCCTTTTGCGAATCAGACAAGGGCCCACTCGTACGGCAACAAGCAAATGTACGCAGCCGTTTTCATTGTTGATGGTTCTGCTGCTGATGATTATTAGTCTTATAAATTTATGAAGCGTGGGCCTTCAAAATGTCAATGCGCAGCTCAAGTCACATCTTTAGACGCCTGGCGGTATTCTACTTTTCTGACAAGCAATAAATGATGCCTTAAGGAGACTCCTTCTACGACAAGCCATTCATACGATGCTTTTTTTTTTTCAAACCAGTTTCAACATCAACGAATAACAACGAATATTGTGGCTCTGTGGTAGTATGCCTGTGCGTTAATTAGCAGATCTGGGTTCGATCCTCACTCAGACACATACATCTTTACGATTGCTTTTATTGGTCTCTTTCTGAATTATTTGGTCAACGACAAGATGATTTTTCGCTCACATCCAATGACGCCAACTCCAGCATTTCAGCTAAACGAGCTCGTTAAAGCTATTGTGTTAAAAGGCCTCTAACACTCGCTTGTTATTTCAACTTGCAGAAGTCGCTCTGTGCAACAGCGAGAGGCATTTTCGCATAGTTTGGATCAATGACTCGACCAGTCCAAGTGTCTCCGCTAGACGACCATTGTCTCCGCTAGACGACCATTGCTGCTGGTTACATGCAACAATGTAACGTTTGTTTGCTGGAAAAGCGTGTCACAAAACAAGTCAGTTACTGCAGTTAAGCACGTGTGCTTTATAATCCGCTTTCACATTTCATTGTATCTGAAAGCGTCTGTACTCTTATTATATTGCTTTACTAGCGAGAAGTTCTGCTGACTAAATCAGCATTGCTTCTTTCTAAAAACGCATTGCCGCAGTATTTCTAATAACATGTTAAACGAACAAAAAAGACGGAAAACTACTTTACTCTTATTAGAGAACTACGGTAAGGTACAAAGAACTCTATTAAGGATACGGAGAAGTCCCACCTCTTAGGGCGACACTGCGGGCCGCTCCCACGTGGGGACAGTTTGACCTAGCTCAATCGCCGCACCACACACTCTCTGAATAGCCTATAGTCGATGCCGATATTTCGAACTCTTGAGGGCTCAGCTCCATTTCTGCTATGTGAGGTCCGTATCTCCACGTATTGAGAACATCGCCAAAGCATATGCTCTAAATCACACTTTCCCGCTCAGCGAGAGTCACTGAGCGCTGAAGTCACTTGAGAACGGACAGAGCATGAAAGCGAGATGTGGATAAAAATTGGTTTGTAGCATCCTAAAATGTCATCGTCTGTGGTCTCCTCTGCTTTTTGTGTGCTGGAGGAAATTCGCAATGTTCATAGAAAGTCGCGCCGCCTAGCAAAATTCAGGAGCGTCCTCTCGAGGATGATCAGTGCTAACACGTAAGCAAGATACGAACACGAACCAATTTGTATGTTGTGTGCATCAGTGAATATATCGGACCGTTCGTGACACGATAAATCTGATTCGGAAATACATGGCGACTCGCGCTTTTGATTATAGCCCGGCGAGTACACATATGAGCTTCACGGGAGTTTATGCAACCACGTTGGATAGCTAAATGGTATTGTCTAACCTCTGCAGTTAAAACTCGCCGTGTTTTACGTGCGTATAACCTTCGTCAGTGCTCTTGTAGTGCATGAATTCCATAACATTCATTGTATGCGGAAAGTAGCGCTGGCTCACGATTTGCGCTTCCAACTCTTGGCCAAAGCTGCGTCGCTTGTTTTTGCGTTCGTTGAGAGATGGCAGCACACTGTAAGCGATTCCTTTATTTGCCTGATATTGAAGCAAAATGTTCTTCGCACCCCTAGATAAACATGGTAAGTGACGCCGTGTTAGGGCTTTGCAATGACGCATTGTTGGTGCTATCGAAGTCGTTCGTGAAGAGAATTCCTCAGATTACTTTCAGCACTGACGTTAAAAAAACCGTCTTGACGTCGAGGATTTCTCAATGTACGTAGATGGTTTTCAACGCACTGAGAGTGACAGTGACGATGAACGATCAGCTGCTAGCTCACGAGCAGTGAGTTGCACTACAAGCCCCGTCGTGCGGTAATATTTTTTTTTCGTGCTCGTAAGTCATTTGATTGTATTTATTGTATAGTATCCTTCAGCGAGCTCAAACTGAAAACAGTTTTTTTGTACATCGCATGTAGCCCAATTACAATGTGTATTACAAAACGCCGCATGCTGACAATGCGCTCGAGCTCGAACAGCGAAGCGAAGTGTTTAGAGCAATGAATTATGCATTTCCGACTACAGTCTACGCTAACTTCTCCTGTACAACACCGGTGCCGTCCGAACGACGTTGTTGTTCGACGAATTCTCAGTTTTGAAGTTGCGAAAAGCGTACGCATGTCGATATCTTTGTTTCGATCGCGCTGATGGAACCTGCAACATCAGAGTGCAGCAAATTGCGCACTGTTAGAGTCGGACATGGCTGTGGCACAAGCGCTACTTAATGGAAACTTAAAAGCTTGTGTTTTATTGAAGAAGCAGCTGCATGATGCTTCCAGCGCAAGTAATGACGACGGCGTAATATGTTTGCAAATCATCTCTACGTTAAAAATTTGGTCCTGTGCAGCCGCGATGGCGCGCTATTTGCTAGTGGCCTGCTACTATGGCAAATTCGCTAGACAGGCTTGACACAAATGATCTTGGAGTGCCGTTCAGTTCATACGTGAATTATATTTCGCGCATTTTTCTGTAGCTTGCACAGAGTTACGCAAAGCATCGCTGATACACGGTCTATCAGCTGAGACCCTTTGCGCTGCGACGAGAAATGAGGCAGCGAACATTCAGCAGTTTCCATTGGTTGGGAAAGTACTTTGGCTCGATATACACTTATTTGACAATCAAGAGTTCATCCGGTGAAAGCGGCACGGGGAGTACGTTTGTGCGTCTTATCTTTTCCTGCGCGATTTCACGGGTTTATCTTCCCTCCACAGCCATCTTTGATTGCACGGTGCGCCACCTATAGGCCGTGGGCATTGCGTATACTCTTGTTTGCAGATGTAAGTGCTTTGTGAACTCATTAAATGTGAATAAAGTGTCTCGGAACTCTTGAACCCTGCACTGTGACAAAGCGAGTGAGTCCAAATTTTCACCTAGGTGTGCCGGGAACCAAGTGATCGTGTGCATAATTATGGTCCTGTTCTTAAGAAGGATATATGCTTCTTCCGCTATGGAGCCCGAGGCAAACGCCCTGAATGCCGACCTCGAATCGGAGATTTTCCTCTTCTTGTCATCCAAGAAAGCAAGAGCAATAGCAACCTGCTCCACTTTAAAAGAGGTGGTCCCAGTCAAGGAGGCCGATGACATTATTTCACCTGTGTTATCTATTGCGACCACATCATAGTGAAGTGAGCGTTCACATTTTGCCGCATCCATGAAGCAGACCGACTTGGAACATCCTTGAACTTCTTCAGGATCGCAATCGCTCTTGCTCTACGCCTTCCCTCATTGCGCTTCGCGTGCATTTTTTGAGAAATTGGTGCAACAAGATTCTTTCCTCTTCCTGAAAATACCCAAATCACCACGCTTGTCACGCAAATACACGCTTGGTAAGAAGAAAAAATAGCAACAACACGCTGCTTCCTCCATGACAGGAATCGGTATAACACAAAAGTGATACGTGTCTTCACAGCGACAGCGAAGCTTACCGAATTTCAGAAAATTGTGCTGGGTAAATGTTGGAAAAATGAAAAAAAAACGACCATAGGAACCCCAACTGAGTTGGTCTGGAAGCTGGTAAACTGTACGAATGCGTTGGCACGACTATAACCCTGAGCTTGATGAAACAACATACCGTAAGTCCGCGAGCAGCTTCCTCACCGCTACCTTCAGGATATTTAACCCTCCATGACCTACGTAATGTTCTTTAACTGAGTGACCGAGTCAACAATTTCATACTCAACAGGAAGCCCGAGGCAGGTACGTTTTACGAAAATTAGGGAAATCATATTGCTCAGCATTGGTGAACCAAAAATAAAGGGAACATGTTGGTAAATAAATAAGCAATTTTCCTGTGCGGTGCACTTATGGTCTTCTCAAATGTATGCGTAGAAGCGCTTTGAGGAGAGCAGACA